GCCATCGCTGTTGGGATGGAGGCCATCGCTCTTGGGATGGAGGCCATAGCCTTTAGGCCGGAGGCCATCGCGGTTGGGATGGAGGCCATCGCGGTTGGGATGGAGGCCATCGCTGTCGGGATGGAGGCCCTCGCCACTAGGGTACTTACTCTTGTATTCTTCCTGTGCTGTTGTGGGGGACTGTGCCGGATCCTGAAACGGGCGCGCAGTGACAGTGTTGGCTTGGTCCAAAGTTTTCGAGACACTTTGCTGCAACAATTCCTTTTATGAACTTTTTTTGTTCACCATTAGACCTTTGATATTGTTCCTTTTCGTTTTAGACCATTAGACCCTTTTTCTAATTCTTTTCTTGACTTGGTATATTTAGTGCTCCTCAAATTACTCCAACTAACGAAGAAAGACAGCACTCAAGCACATTCAATCACCCTTTGGGTTGGAAAGAATGCCGGTTTCTGGGTGAAGTTGCTTCTTAAGCTACTAGTAACAAGTGCATCGCTAGTAACACGGGCATTACCAGTCACAGACAAGCACAGAATGCATGAACGCTGTCAGCGCGGTCCCACTCTCCGTAGCAAAGGACGCGTTTGTGCGTCAACCCCCAAATGTCCTGCGAGCATCTGCGAGCAACAAATTGGATGCGGTTGACCTTCCTGTATCACATGATATTACATGCAAAGCATTGCAAAGCATTGCAAAACATTGCAAAGCAAACCAGTTCGACTCTTCCCAACTGCCCATGTTCCTTCCAACAAGATCATAACCCTCCAGACTTCAAAGTCTTTCAATTCTCTACCGTTAGAATTCATCTATCGCACATTCATAGGGTGGAGGCCATCTCTAGTAGGGAGGAGACCATCGCTCTTGGGATGGAGGCCATTCATAGACATTCATGCACCTTCCGTGCATCACCATCGTCCAAGGTCTGCTGAATCCGAACCAATGCCTCAAACACATTCAATGTCCAAGGTCCGCTCATGCCATGCTCATGCTCCCGGACTCTTCTCACTTGTTAAAAGGAACCCTTTGCTACGCATTCGGGAAAAAAAGAAAGGTCTAAAGGTCTAAAGAATAGAACTTAACAACAGGAAACTACTAGGGGCTCCTCTACTAGGAGCAAGGACGCTGCTAGGGGCTCCTGGCATCGCTACTAGGAACAAGAAGTGAAAGAAAAAAAAGGTCTAAAGATCAAACAAATCAGACATGAACGCTCTTTTTCTGCACCATGTGCAAGGCTTCACCGTGCGACCGCTAGGACACCCCCCCCGGATGTGGGAATCTGAGGCCATGACTCGTCGTCGGAAATCGAGCGCAGGCTCTGAGATGCCCATCTTTGACAGTAGACTCTGCCTCACAAGCGGCAACTTCAACCTACTAGCGATGGCCTCCACAGCCCCTTCTGGGGAACTGCAGGTTTAAGCGACTCAAAACCCTAAAGCTCCCTTCCGAAAAAGTTTAAAGTTGGCGGGTACCTAATTGTGGGCAGTGGCGCAACATTGAGGCTCTGGTGTTGCGGTAGTCTCCCGGCAAATTGCGGCAGGTCTTCCATGGTGGGCGGAATCTGATACGAAAGGGGTCCGGGCTTCGTTCTTCGGAAGGCAAAGAATCACGCGCGTTCAATTCCAGGGGGAAACAAGAAGCCACTAGGGTGAAGGCCATTACTAGTAGTAACAAAAAGCTACTAATTAGGGTGATTTCGTGGCAGGTGCAGGACTTTGTGGGCCTTGGAGTGCAGATTTCGTGGTAGGCACAGTACTTTGTGGACCTTGAAGTGCAGATTTCGTGGCAGGTGCTAGATAGCTAGATAGATAGACAGATAAATGGATCGATAGATATATAGATTAGATTAGATTAGATTAATTTAGGTTGGGTTAGGTTAGGTTAGATTAGATTAGATTGATAGATAGATAGGTAGATAGGAAAGAAAGAACGAAAGAAAGAAAGAACGAAAGAAAGAAAGACAGATAGACAGAAAGACAAAAGAAAGAAAGAGATAGATAGATAGATCGATAGACAGACAGACAGACAGATAGATCAATAGATAGATAGATAGAGACAGATAGATATAGACAGATGGATGGATAGGTAGACAGATTTGGGAGCTGTCGTAGCTGGCAGCTGGCAAAATACATTGGAATAGTGCAGGTGTCAGAGAGATTCCTACCTATCACAACAGTTTGGTGCAGTTAGCAGAGAAACAGCAAAGAGAAAGAGAACTACGTAGCACAGGAGGCATATTTGCTTGGCAGACATTTTTGCACCGGGGAGTTCACCTTAAACATATTGATTTCGTGGCAGGCGCAGGTGTCGGAGATGAAGTGCAGATTTCGTGGCGCGGGAGGGGTTGGCGGGAAGCGCAGCGCCCCCCCCCAGCAGCACACCAGATCCAAAGGTGAGCAGCTCGTGCTTGCTTGCTTGCTTGCTTGCTTCCTTGTTTGGTTTCTTCTCTGCAAAGCAAACAAATGGAAAAGCAAAAGCAAAAAGAGAAAGGAGAACAGCTGCCAAAGAGAAAGAAAGAAAGAAAGACAGAAAGAAAGAAATAACGTTAGATAGATGGATAGACAGACAGATAGAAAAATAAATAGATATAGTTAGTAAATAGATATAGACAAATAGATGGATAGGTAGACGGATTTCGGAGCTGTCGTAGCTGGCAAACAGCCACACATATTTACATCATATCAGTGAATGAAGACACGAAAAGCCGACAGAAGCCAGCCGAAGCCACGAAAAGGCAAAAAGCCACCGAAAGCCAAAGTCATCAATAGCCACAAAAGCAAAAAGCCACCAAAGGAATCGTCTGGATGAAAACAAGACCGTCTTACATCTGGTAGCTGTGCCTCGGACTTCACATTCCTCCAAAGATGGACTAGCAAACAGCCAGAAGCCACGAAAGCAACGAAAGCCAAACGCCACAAAAGCCACAGAAGCCACGAAACCCACCAAAGCCAAAAGCCACCAGAAACAACAAAAACTCCTAAAAAACAACAAAACATACTAAATCAAATGGCCCTCCCTTCATATGTCTAGTGTACGAGCTGGTGTGGCTTTATGGAGCCTTTTGCCAACTCGGTTTACCAAATATGCAAAGCTTTGGGAGCCATTCACTGAGGTGCTACTCGAACTCTTGCAATGCTTACCAAGGTCTGAGCGGAGCCCTTTCTCATCCTTTCTCATTGGTGTGAGAAACTTGGGTCCGTATTGGAGAGAAAAGCAGCCAAGAGAATTACTGACGCTTCTTGAGCTGTGCCACTTCTACCCACGATACTTTTACCAATGTTCCTGTTGCTGTGCTGTTGTTACTTTCATTACTGGTATGCACAAGACTTTTGTCGTGCGACTCCTGCTATATATATGTTGCTGTTACCGCGCCACTGTTACTTACTGAGTGGATAAACGTCGGTAACACGGAAGTTTCTCAGCTAAACCTCCTTTGAATAAAACCATTTCGGCACAGTGCTGTGATTCGACAGTGCCCATCAACGAGCTGGTCGAGCTGGTCTGCTACGTGTGGCTATGCCGCTGACTTCTGTCTTTCCGTCTCTTTCCTACTCCAGGCTTGCTATGGGGAATGGACTCATTGCCTCCCACCAGTCTGAGGGAGCTACATAGACTAAAGCTCAGGGAGTCATATGCGTGTAGTTGAGATTTCAATCGTTGCAGAGTCACGATGACTTGGTCATTGAGGCTCCAACGTCCCTGCGACGCCGAAGTTGTCAACCCCAACTCGATGAAGCACCTCCCGCGTCACTTAGGCGTTTTCAACACCCCGCCTTTGTACTACCAAAGTAACGAAGACTACGGAAGCTAGTAGTAACAAGTGCCACGCTAGTAGTAACAGGTGCCTTACTAGTAGTAACAAGGACGCTATTAGGAACAAGTGCCACGCTAGTAGTAACAAAGTGCTACTACAGTCGGTCATTTAGTTACCAGGATAATGCTACTGTGTAGCTAAGTTGAGAAATGGTCATTAAGAACAGTGTTTTTGTTTGGCATGAAGCAAAGTGCCAGACCGAACCTGCAAGCATAGCAATAGGGAAGAAACATGAACAAACAGAAAGGATCTAGCATGAAGGTGGCATCTTTGAGGGGTAAAACATGTTGACCTCGTAAAACCCAAGATCCCACACCAAGCTCTGAAAGACCTGGCAGCACTTCAAATGCGTTGTGAGCTGGGCTGCTCACAGATCAAACAGTTACAACATCGTTGGGAACAATGGTGCTGCGATCCACAAACCTCTCAATCTGATCCGCAGGACCTGCACAAATGCAGAACCACTCCAATCTGTGAGCGTCTTGGGCATTCCGTTGACAAACTCCTCCAACGTAGGCTCTAGTCTCTCCAGCAACCTGAGTCAACTGCCCTCGAGCAATGAACGCATAGAAAAACCGCCAAGCCTTCAAGCGCTGCTGGATTGAAGCCCAAAAACACACACACACACCCTTCTAGGTAACAAGCCTCAGTCAAAGTCCTGGACTTGACGCTTGCGCAACCAATAACAACCTCGATTGCTACGACAACGACTGCTAGTACTACTCGTCGCTGCTGCTGCTGCTGCTCCTCCTCCTGCTCCTGCTGGTACTCCTACTTACTCCTACTCCTGCTTCTACTCCTGCTACTGCTACTCCTACTGCTGCTACTGCTACTGCTACAGCTACTGCTACCTACACTACGATGACTGGTGCTCCTCCTGCTGCAGCCGCTGACATGACTTACTACCTTTGACATGCTATCTGGACCTTTACACACAACCTTCTTAAGTCCCGTCTTTGCCTATCTGCTGGCTACTGACTACTGACTACTAATTACTGATGCTGACGGCGACGACTACTCTGCTTGTGCTTTTGCTTCTGCTACTACTGTTACTGCCACTACCTACCACAACTTGGCCAGCACTACCGCGCCACGATGCCTACCATTATGACGCCAACCGGCGAGTAGCATGCATGACTCACTGCTCCTTCCGCTACTGCTACCATTATTGCTACTGCCACAACCACCACTGTACAGTAGCAGCAAACGCTCGAGCCCCATGCTTGAGGCCATCGGTTCCAAAGCCCAAGAGTTCCCAATTACTTTTGTTTCCAGCAGCACAAGGGGCTTTAAACATATTTACTCAAATTTATATACCGAATGATTTGTTTCAAAGGAGCTCCTCAGACATGTCTTTGACCGAATCCGAGAGGTTGGCCAATGCTTGGGCATCAAAGGTCGACATCCGCCGCTGCACTTCACTCTTCAACGCCCTCCTGTGAACAAATTGAGGATCAAATGGCCTCCACCCTAGTAGCGATGGCCTCCAACCTAAGAGCGTTCTTGTTACTAGTAGCGATGCCCCTTGTTACTAGTAGCTTCTTGCTCCTAGTAGTAAGGCCAGGAGCCCCTAGTAGCGTCCTTGCTCCTAGTAGCGATGGCCTCCAACCAATGTTCTTAGATTCTTCTTGATGTTTCAGATCCGCCAAATCTTGCTTTCTTGTGCTCTTGAAAGGTGGAATTTGGTGCACGGATAGTTGCAAATTCCGATCAATCCCAGCTCCTGAGGCTGACCTCAACCTCTGAGAATCTTGAAAAGGCCCAGGCGCTGTTGGACAGCTCTTGGTTCCTAGTAGGGCAGGGCAAACCAAGGAACCAAACAGCACAGCAAAGTAAGGAAGTTCTTTTGCCTATGAAAGAAGTCGTGTTAAATATGTCCGCCGCGCGTCAAAAAGAGATGCAGCTTCTGGACTGCCTGATGCGATACCACCGCCAACAAGCTCATGTTCATCTCCAGCAAAGTGGCACAAGCTCAGGCAGTGTTAGAGAGGTCCTGACACTCCAAGACTACACTTCAAAAAGAGTGACATTGCAATCGCTATTAGGATGGAGGCCATTACTAGGAGCAAGGACGCTACTAGGGGCTCCTGGCCTTACTACTAGGAACAAGAAGCTAATAGTAACAAAGGGCATCGCTACTAGTAACAAGAACGCTCTTAGGTTGGAGGCCATCGCTATTAGGTTGGAGGCCATTGCAATCAGACTCTTGACCGACTGCATCCAGAAGGAACGTGTGTTCCTTGAGTGCGAGTTGATGGGACGGAAAAACAACCAAACAAATCGTCTTGCGCGGAAGATGTCTTCGTTTAGCAGCGCACTTGAAACCGCTACTACTTGTGCGCTTTTAGTACTATAGCAAGTGCATCTACTAGTAACGAGAAGCTACTAGTAACAATTTATGCAAGTCACCAAACTCAAAACTCCGCAGTGCTTTGAACTTTGGCTTGCGTGTTTGGGGTGCCTGCTCGCGGGGTCCACGACAGCGGTAGCTTGTAAATTCCGGCTATGCCAGCGGTGGCCAAGGAGTGTAGCTCCGCAGGAGCCTACAGCTTTACAGCATTTTGGGCTCTGAAGGTGCCAATTTTGGATTTTTGTTGTGCTGCCGGCAGATTACGCAAAACTGTGTTGATGCCGCTGTTTGCGGATGATGGTTGGTGGATCACACTGCAAATTCCAACAGCAGAATGCAGTTGGGTTTCAGTCAATCTTTGGGGCGGGAATGGTCCACAGTTTAGTTGTTGCGCGTGCCTATGGTGCGGTTTCTGTCTCCGCTGCGAAGCAGTGCAAGGTTCGTGTGCGAGATGCAACAGGTATTTGAACACATCTAGCAACGCGCTTCTGTGTCAACAACTGTTGCACTTCTGATGTCTGTCTGCAATGCAAAACAGTCTTGCTGTGAAGCAAACAAATTCTGGACAGCAACACGCTTTTGCACCGGCAACAGCATTGGTGCAGTTCTTATGTGCTTTCTGTATGCCTGCTTCCCAACTCCTGGCCCTCAGTTCCTGCTCCCGTTCTTGCTCGCCAGCTCTTGGTAACTAGCTCCGTTTGCATTCTGCAAATTGATTCGGATTTGGCTTGGGAGCTTTAGCAAGCCCAAAACACATAGTTGCAGTTAGTGCTTGAATATTCTCAGTCAATCAAGTTGCTGTCTGCTGGGTTGCCAAGCTGGGTTACTACATCCTTTTTGCAAAATCGCAAAGCGCACGGCAACGCACGTCGTAAACATGTTGCTTTGGTATCTGAGAGCCAAACACAGTATTTGCATTGGTTTGCGAACATGTTGCAAATACCGGATACCTTTATATTTTTGTGTCGGCACCCAACCGGCCGTGCGAAATACCAGGTGCTTGTTTTTGTTGTGCTACGCCAGTGCGAAATTATGATGTTGCTCTTTATGGGAATGTCTTTCGGACGGGACGGGGGGTTCTCGGCCAATAAAATGACGTTCCTTTGGATATGCTTCCCAAATGATGCTAAGGTTGGAGGCCATCGCTACTAGGTGGAGGCCATCGCTAGTAGATGCATACGCAGTCAACAGTGTGATCGTGAAAAGAGCGCACGGAAACTTTCATCAGGTCAAAATGCAACTTCAAAAACGCTACGAATCTGTGACAAAACCAATGTAGAAAGACATGTGACATGTAAAACTAGCTGAAAACCTGAGTTTTGAAGCGTTGAGCAGAAGCACCTGCTACGCGAAACCCTAGAAACACACGGCCGCTTGCAGGCGTCACCACCTTGTTTTGATCCAGGTTCAGCACGCTCAATAAAAACATTGCTGTTCCGGAGTGAGCGCACGACAGCGATGCAAAAGTCCGGAGAAGCTTTTGGAGTTTGGCCGCACATAAAATCAACACGAAGTTGCCCAAGGCTTGGTTCAACATGCTGATTCTTGCATCGGTGGGCAAAGCTCGACAATCGTGTTGAATTGCAAACGGCGGAAACACTTAAGTTTCCCGTAGTAGCTTGCTTACTCATACTCCCTTAATTAAGCAGGCACCTACTCAATTTAATAAGGACAGGTTTAACTTCATAAATAAAAAGACAACTTGCAAAGACCTTCTTGGACACACTTTCGATGTCCTGGGTTACAAACTCACCGATGATACTCACTGATCGCTGAGCTAAGGCATCCAAAAGTTCCACGTCATGAAGACCAATCTTGGCACAGCACCAGGCCAAGTTGGCCAGCTCTTGTGGAATCAATTTCGTGCCATCGCGGAGTATCATCTGCGAGATGCTCTCCATGAGCTGTTTCTTGCGAAAGCCCAAGACACCAAAGGCCCACGCGCTGTTGGTCAAGTTCCTTGGAAGCCGTCAAAACAAACTACTTTGGGGTCTGGGTCGGTCTGGGTAGGTCGTGAAAGGGAGGCGTTGGTGATAAGTATGGAGGCCACCCCTATTATATAGGTTGGAGGCCATCGCTTCTAGTTCTAGCTTGGTAGATAAGTAGCCAAAGTAAGTTTGGAAGCTACATATGAAGCTACGAGATGCCACGGGGAAAAACAATGCTCGTGTGTGTCCAACATCTCAAGTATCTCAAAGACATCTCTCTTTCTTTTACAAACAAATAACATACTGTATATGTTTTCTATGCCCTTTGCTCCTAGTAGCGATGCCAGGAGCCCCTAGTAGCGTCCTTGGCCCTTGAGACACTTTGGGAGCTGAGACTCTGAGATACAAAGCTCTCAATCTTGCTGATGCACATCTGGGAGATAGCATCACACAACGACCGTTCGATGAAGAGAAGTCGTGTGAAAGCCCACACTGTGTTCGCCAGCCTGTCCGCAACGAAACAGCGCAAGTCTTCCCGATGCACTCTCTACGAACAACTCTACTTTCTGTGCAAACTCGTTCAAACGTGCTTTTTTCGTTCTTACACTTGCTGTCCCTTTAGCGGATCTGATTAGCAGCCCTAGAAGGAATACCACATCGCACTTAGGGTGGAGGCCAACGCTTCCAGGTTGGAGGCCATAGTTAAGTTTTAGGAACCAAGTGAATAGTGCGTGAGCTATCCTGCGTCCAGTTCCTAGTGACTTAGTGGCTTAAGTGAGGTACTAGCTACCTAGCTACTACCTCTACACGGCCTACCCTGCCGGCAAAAAAGTTGCACATTTCAGTCGTCCAAAATCGAATTTCCAAACCAGGCAGCTCTTGTGCACCGAAGGTATGCAAGCATTGAAATGCCGCTTGTGAGATGGATAGGATCAGCGGTTGAGGGCAAATCAGCACTGTGGCAAAGACCCACACCAAATTGGACAGTGACTGAGCATCACATTGGCTGATCTTCGACCTCACAAAGCGCTTTCTTTACTACCCTGACTACCCTTGCTTTCCGAATTGTACACGACCTGCGTGTTCCCTCGAACCATCTAAGGTCCCAATTTGCATAATCCTTACATCTGGGATTTTCAAAAACATCCAGGAACCAAACAAATAACGCGAGTGTTTCTTCAAGGAAACTGCCCCCCGCCCTCAGGCGGGGGGAGCTGATTGAAGAAGCGTGCGCTATCCTGTGTCCAGCTAACTTAGCCCTCACTTAATCAAGTAGTACACGTAGGGAGCAAAGCGGGCTTTAAAAAAGTGGGAACTTCTCCAAGTGCAAATGAGCTGCTCTGCAATCTTCCCAATGGTATGGTATATGGCACCATCGTATGAAACCTTCGCAAATGCCCAAGCAGTACTGGAAATCTCCTTCGGAAGCGCTTCCGTCATTTTTGCCTCAGAGAGGCCGATAAACAACACGCCATCAGAAGAAGCTAGTAGTAACAAGTGCATCGCTACTAGTAACACCGTTTTACTTCAGCTGAGCTACCAATTGCGAGGCTACTGCATTCATGAGTTGGTCATCTTTCACTTGCAACTTGGCAAATGCTCAGGAGGTATTTGCCAAATTTTGTGGAGCAAATGACTCAATCTTCAGTACCTCGGCTCTGCAGAGCGATGGCCTAAAGAACAAGTAAACACTTGAGACGACATTGGACTTCACTACCTCTACAAGCAAACTCTTTTCTTCGCTGCTAGTAAGCTTAAGTAGCTAAGTATTGCTAGGTAGGGGTACTACAGTAGCACCGACTCAAGAAAGCCGGAACCCGTTTCGCAACATGTCATGTCTTTTATTCTTACATTTGTTCCACAAACCCAAGAATCCTTACAAGATCGTACGTGAACCTCCTAGAGTTCATGTCTCGACTACACCTTTCTTTGACATGAATATTCTTGCCCTACTCGAACGCCAGTTTCCAAGCGGACACACAAACTCCGCAAACGGAGCTTCTCGGAACCCCCAAATCCGGACACATCGGTGCCAAAGCGTTTCCAAGGCACAGATTGAGCTGAAATGGCATCTAAAAGTGTCTGGTCTCGCCAAACGAGTTTGGACAACGACCACGCCGTGGCTGATAAACTCTGGGAACCGAAGGCCCCAATCTTCGTGAGCGCCGCGGTGGTAACGGCTTCCACAAAGGTTGGATGAGACACCACCAACGCGGCAAAGGCCCAAAGCGTGTTGGAGATGTGCAATACCAAGAAGCTTGGTAGAATTTGCATTGCATGTTGAGCCAAGGAGTGAATGAATGGCAAATCACTAATGACCAGCATTGCAAAGGCTCAAGAACTGTTTGAAATCTCCTGAGCACCAAATTCTCCCAAACGCTGATGGGCAGCAGAAGTTGCAGAAGCCACAAAGCTTGTCTCACGAATTGCTAATCTCGCGAGCGACCAAACCATGCTGGACAAGGTCTGTGCTTGAGCCTCACTGATCTCTGCACGAATCCTCATCAAAAGTGCAGTCATCAAAGGGCCGTTGTGCACCAAAAGCTTCGTAAATGCCCAACCTATGTTCGAAGTATGCTGATGCGTATATTCGTGGACGTGGCGTAGGGACTCTTCAGCCACTGTGTCCATGAACGGCAAATGCAGAAATTCCTGTTTTCCAAAGCTCCACACGCTATTGGCCTTGTCCTGGGCACTGAAAGCTGCCAGTTTTGGAATGCCATGAGACGCAGCTGCTTCAAACAAGGCCCGATCAAAGGCCTTCATTGTCGGACACAAGGGGCAAACAGTGAAGGGACAAAGCCACAGTGAGAAAGCCTTTTCATATTTAGAAACAACATAAAACTCAACATTGAGTTGTTCATTCTATGCAACTCAAAACAGTTTGAGGGAAAGTGAGTAGAAATTCCCAACCTCAATGGTTGAGCAAGCCCATGTCGTATTTGAGATCTTCTGCGGGGCGAAGTCTTTCATACTTTCTTTGGCTGCTGAACACAAGGTCTGCCACAATTGGGTGTCGCGGATAAGCAATCGGGCACTCGCCCAGGCTGTGTTGGAGATGTCCTGGGATTGCCGTGATTTTTCTCAAAAAACACTAGTAGCGTCCTTGCTCCTAGTAGCGATGGCCTCCAGCCTCCTTGCGATGGCCTCCACCTAATAGCGTCCTTGTTACTAGTAAACACATCAAGACTTACTTTCATGTCCATTTCATGTCCTTCAATCTCGTTGATCCCATTTCCGACCGAGTTCGAGCAATTGTGATCGAGCGTCTTGTGAGTTGAAGTGATGAATTTGTGACTTGACGCGCTCCATCAAATGCGTCAGCAAAGGTGAGTGATGTGCCAACCGAGTCATTGCCCAAGCGGTGGCCGAGCAATCCTGCAAGCTGAAGTCTAAACTCCGCAGTCACCACAAATTCGATCTTGGGATATCTTGGGAATGTTCAAACGATTTCAGAGTGACTTATGGCAGTAAAAAGCAATCTTCAAAGCTGAGGGTTAATTACTCTCTTTCACCCTCGCTACTGTATAATAAACAGTACTTCAGATTCTTTCAATGACTAGAAATGCAAGCGCGAGCGCCGACACGTGTATCTGGAGTCTTGAGCCATGCTAGGATTAAAAGGAGATGGGGTATGGATGGTGTCTGGTCAGGAAGCGTAATTTTTGTTCAAGCCGTGTCTCCTTAGTGGAAGCTGGATTGCCGCGCCGTGTGAGAAGAAACTCGCACGCACGAGGAGTAGCTGCTCTTAAAAACGTTCCAACAATCAAATGAGTGCTCACGTCAAAGAAGCAAACAAGAAGCACGCTTTTGTTACCTTGTCATTGTAGCTTAGTATCAGGTAGTATCCTACATACAGGCTGTCCACTTCGCCTCCCCGGAGATGCTTTAACGACGTGGACGCGCAAGCCAACGTAACTTCGTGGATGTACACATCGTGGCTGTCGTGCGCGTTCCTTTAGTGGGGAGCTTAGCTAATCGGGTTAGTGTCACACCTAGTAGCTTCTTGTTCCTAGTAGTAAGGCCAGGAGCCCCCAGTAGCGTCCTTGCTCCTAGTAGCGATGCCCTTTGCTCCTAGTAGCTTCTT